AATAAAAATAAATAAATAAAAAGGGTTGGAGATATAGCTCAGTTATGAAGACCCACTGGGTTCAATTCCCAGTACAGTAAGGAAATGAAAGATTGAACCCTAAAATAAACTTTGGGCTTTGGGTGATAGGATGTGTTAGTGTAAGTTCATTAACTATCAGAAATGCATCTATGGTGAGGGATGGTGATAATGAGAAATGCTTTGTGTGTGTGAGGACAGTGACTATACAAAAAACCTAGCCATCTTCCTCTTAATTTTCCTGTCACCTTAAAACTGCTCTTAAAAAAGTAAAGCTTTTTAAAAACTTAAAAATAGGTAGCATACAAATGAAATCTAAAATTTCTAATTACTTACTATTGTAGTTTTTTTTTTTTAAACCACATTTTCATAATCTTTCTATTCACTGTTTGGAAGATTGACAGGAACTCATTGTAAGATGAGTTCAAGCAGTATAAGCTTTATGACTGCTTTTTAGATATACTGAAATAATTTTTGGATGCAGTTAACAACTCCGTATTCTTAGGTACCAGGCACATACATATTAATCCAAATGTTACCTCTTCACTGAGGTTTTCCCTACATATTCAATCTAATATATCCACTATCATTTCCTATTCCCTTGCTTTGCTTTATCTTTGTTGCATTTACCATGACTGGCATATTATCTATTTCATCATAGAGTATCATCAGCCTCTTCCAATGCAACATAAGCTCCATTCAGGACAAGGACTGTCATTGTTTTATAAAGTTATATCACTGTTATTAAGAACAGTACCTGGCATACACAGATGGTGACTGAATAATCAGTGACTGAACAACTGCCTTTTGAGATGACAGTAGAATTTTTTAAATGTTTGGCTAGTGAAATAAAAGGTATAATTATTTCAAACAAAATCAAGAGACTATTCATTTCACCAGGGCATTGATGTTTCTTATGACTCAGTAATAAGTAGTTTCATAGTTTGAATATGATTTGTCCCCTCCAAAACTCATGTTTTTGTGAGTTCAAGGCCAGCCTGGACTACATAATGAGACCTTGTCTCAAAAAAAAACAAACAAAAACAAAAAACAAAAATCACCCAAATCTAAACTTACACTGGAGTTTAATCTCCACTGTAAGGTATTAAGAAGATGTTCACTTAATATGACTATGCTGTTCTGAGGGAGGGCTTCTGGGAAGTAATTAGAGTTAGGTAAAGTCGCCATGCTCATGAATGAACACTGATAGTTTTGTAAGAGACAGAAACTAGGGGATGTATGTGCATATTACCTGTCTTGTGCCATATGATTCCCTGTAACCCTTCAAGACTCTGTCAGTAAGAAAGACATCATCAGTAGAAGTCCCTCAATCAGAACTATAAGCCAAAATAAACTTCCTTTCTTTATAAATTATCCAGACTGTGGTATTACGTACATTACTAGCCACAGAATATGGATCAAAACAGGTGGTGCAAGGAGAAGTAGTTTAGACTCAAGTTTCTTCTGCAAGGATGCTTTGAGATCATCTGTATTCATTTTTAATAACATGAGCAAAACCAAGTTAAAAGTTAGAAAATACGTTATTTTAGAACACTTTAGAACATCTCGATTTTCTAAAATCAATTTAATTCACTTGAAGCTTTCATCCTAGAGTAAATAAAAGATCTTTAAAAAGTGAATGAAATCACAAAGTATGAGCCACTTTATCGATCAACCTTGAATCAACCAGATACAAAATCAAGGAAGCAGTCTGTCTCTAATACTGTATTATGTCAACTAAGCCTCCTTAGGAAAGAATAAGTGAAAGAGAAAAGTCAGAGGAATGAAACAGAACTGAGAAGAAACCCAAATCTCTACTACTATGCTGAAATAGCCTTAGTGGCCATCCTTCAGCTACACATGTCCAATTATTACTCAGCTGTAAAAGAACCTCCAATATCTCCAGCAAAGTTCTTCTGCTTACATTTTTCTCTACGGATGGTTTAAGGACCATTAATTTCAGATTGAACCATAAAATTCAAAAGAAGATTCTGAAACTTCACCTCTTCATAACGGAGCCCAGATAAATATTTTTATCAAGTGTTACAGGTGACTCCTATGCAAACAAGTTTGAGAACTACTGTAATATCAACTTACTTTTCAAAACTCAGTAGAAGTTACCTACTATATGTAACTCTACTACATAATAAATCCATTACTTCTGTACTCTTTGAGCATATGTATGTTTCTCTTACATTTACCACACTATCTTTTCATCTACTTCCCCTGCAAAAAAATAAAACTTTCTAACTCTGATTGACTACTGCAGAGCTTCACCTTTTACCACAGGATGCTACAGATATAAAAACAAGTGAGAAGACAACTGCAATTCCAGAAGCTACCTCTAATCTATCTACTCTCCTCCCACAAATCAGTATAAATGAATGATGAGATTCCTGGTTGATTAAAGTTGGTCTGTAATTTTCAAAAAGGAAAATATAATAGAATAAATGGTAGTAGTCTTTTAGAAAATTTTATAGAGTATTTTCACAACAACTTGAAAGCCTAAAATTAAGAGTGAGCCCAGAATTTTTGGTCTGGATCACAATCCTATTGTCATTTGCTCATATTAACAGAACTCTGGAATTTGGTCTACGCGATATATCAGAGACCGAGAGACTAGAATAAACTTACAACTGACTGACACAAAAATAAAATCAAAATGTTCCAAGAACTGCTTTCATTCTGGAGTATTTAAGACAGCAGTGAAATACTTGGTCAAACATACAGACAGATTCCAATTATTGCCTTCATGATATATTTTTAAAAAGAAAGAAAGCAAACTTAAACTAAAAGGGCAAGGAGCAAACAGTGGAAATCAAACTAAATTTTATTTAATCTGAAACATTTCCTTATTTTGAAAAAGTTCTCAGTGAAGTCACAGGATCGTAAATGTAAGAATTAGGTGTTTTAATCCCCAACAAGTTCTACTTTTCTATCGAGGAGGAAATTCATGGCACAGTGGGCAGAATCTGGGGGAAGTTCATGTCCAGTGTTCTCTTCATTGATAGTTAAATGTAAAAGATGTTGTCAATTCAATGAGATTAAATCCTATATATCGCCAATATTTACTTCATTTAGTGGTTAAACCTTTTCTTTTAAAAAATCCCAAGCACTGACTACACTTGCATGCACAAACATTATCAATGTCATTGCTGAGAAAGATAAAAACTCAGTCAATTAACTCAGAATCATAAGCAATGCCAGAATGAAGAGAGACAACTGTTTGCTCTTGGTAGTTCTTAAGTGGCATTCTGAGAATCAGCATGAGATTACACTAGGGTAAATCGTAAGTGCCTCTTGTGATCTAACTAAAGGGTTCTACTTCAACTGTTTCACAATATAGAAAACAAGTATACACTTGCTTCTCTGTGACTATGATGAACTTAAGTGTTTTAGTTACATTCTATCTTCAATATTTTAGACCAATACGTAAAAACTTGACCTTAAATTTAAGAAGCTGAAATTTGGGTTTGAGTTTAGATTGTTACCTGGGGTAAATCACTGCCTATTTCTAGACCCCAGATGCTTTCTTCAGTAAAATTAAAGTGGGTAGAGTGGTTGGTTAGGCTTTGGTTCCTACCAGTTCTATGTTCCTTTTTTGTCAAATTTCACAGATCCAAAAGGAAAAAAACAAAACTCTTTTAGGAAAACAACCCATCTTATTGACTGAGGTTTAAAATATATAGTGTTCAAAGAAACTTTATTTGGTAGAGTGTACCAGGAACTACACTATTTTGAAGGTCACTGTCTCAAACTCAGTTAAGTTTCTAAGTAATTCAAAAGTCAATCATCAACAGAAGATAGCCAAATGTTGGCAATATCTGGCTATGAAAAAAAGTGTGGCATACTGAAGCTAATTTCCAAGACAGAAGCTTGTTAACATGAAGGTTTGAAATCTTTTGCATAGTTAAGTAATTGACAATGCTGAATTTTATCAGAACCCTGTGATCCTGGAAACAGCAAAGGTTAAAAAACAAAAATAAAAATCACCCCACCTGTTCATGTTCCAGGAAATGGCCTACTGCAAAGAGTAACTGTTCCTTATAGAACTTAGATAAGGTTCACGGTTGCCCTCCACCTCCATCCCATTTACCAACGGAAAGGTCAGACCCAGACCCTCCAAATTCCCAGTCTTTGATCATAAAGGACTTGCTGAAATGCTTGTTCCCACAGATCAACTGGAACCAAGTGCTTATTAACCAAACTTTAAGGTTCTCTTCCTACAGGTTCCTGAACTGTGCCTTACCCTCGGCTTGAAAACAGCATAGCCTGTCCTCAGAGTAAGACTTTCTCTGGTTATTGTCCATCATAACGTTCTTTCATCCCACTTTTCAGACTCTAATAGTGCCACTGCCTACGAAAGAGAAACCATCTCTGCCTAATCTTTGAGATGCTAGCAGATCTCAAGATCAAGACATTCTCCCGACTGCAATAACTCATTCCTCCATACCTTTGCAATTATCTTTCAAATAAAAATTCGTTCTTACTAAACCTGGACTTTTATAATTCGAAACCCCGTCCAATTCTTAAGTGTCGGTGTTTGGATGATAGATTGATTCTGTCATTTTTTTTTTTTCATGTCACAGGTGTTCCTCTTCTCCCAGTACGCGAACTCGTCGTGTTCTTGGGGTGACTCGAGGCATTTCTAAGACTTAAATTCTTGGCCACTGTCCTGTGGCTGCACAAGGTGGCGGGGAAAGGTGATGAGCCGGGCAAGGTCAACTCTGGGTCCACCTGGGCTTAGACTGACAGGGTCCCCACCTTCCGCCCCGCTCGTCCCACAGTTGGTCAGCATGGATGCTGCTTCCTCCGGGACTCAGACACTCGGAGGCAGCTGCAGGCTCCTGCCCGGGGGCAATCGACCGGCTCCTTCCACATCATCCCATTCTGACCAGGGCATTCGACCGGCTCCTTCCACAGCAATGACCTCCCGGTCCTTTCATTCCCAGTGTTGTCACTCCTACCCGCACAGAACTCACCATGGCGCCAAGGACAAGTCCTGAACCAGACACCCTGGAGAGACCAGGACTGCCCTAGATCTCCCCTCCGGGAGCGGTTGAGGTGAACCTCTGGAAACCGTGAGGGAGAAGGTCTTCCGGCTCTACCGGAAGTTCTGCTACGCGGACAGGAAGTCCCGCCCCCTCACGAACGCCGGCGACCCCACGCTACGCAGAGGTAAAGAGACGCAGGACGTCGGCTCAAGCCACTTCCGTGGGTGTTCACCGGGGCCTGGGGGCGGTGCTGACCTTGAGAGCGCGCGGGGAGGCGCAGGCGCAGCACAGGTAAGTGGGCGGGCTGAGCGCGCTGGCGGGGCCTGGGAGGTGTCTGAGGTAGGTTGGGTGGTTTCGACAGGCGCGCATCCTCGGAGAAGGAGGTGGTGGGCATACCGGTTGGTGACTGGGATGGGCATCGACCCTAGACCCAGAAGAGGTCGTGAAGATTAAGACCATCGCTAGGCTGTGTTCGTGCGAGGCGACAACCTGGTGATTGTCGCATGGCAGTCAACGCCCTTTATGTTTTCTACCTTTTCGTTTTCCCGACTCGGTCCCTTTTTGGAGTGTCGCCGTCACCACAGACCTTTCTGCCCCCCTGTCGTTTTTCTTCCCTGTCTTAGTGGCTACTCCAGCTCTACACCTCTTCAGTGCAGTGGAATCCGATTGTGAGAAGTTTCTGCAAATTCACAGCACGAGCTGAAGCCAGAACCACGTCTTCGAGAACTGAGTAACCGAAGCGAATTCTACCTGTTTCATACATTCTAGGGCAGTTTACGTTTGGCTGAAAAAAAAAAAAAATTATCCAGTGGAAAGAAGTATAATTTCCATATACCTCTTAATTTTGTAAACCCCCAGCCACCTATCAGTCCACTTCCGCCTTTTTATTATAGATAGTCATGGAGGCAGGCTTGAAATGATTTTACAGAGCATCTTCAAAAATCAGAAATTTGTGTTACAAATTGAGTCTTACTTAAGTCGTGGCTATCTGTAATTTCACCGTGAGACAATCACAAGGTTTGTCATTAAGTTGGAACTTGGGAGGGAAGCTAAGAAGTTTCAGAAGAAGTTAAGGATTGGTTGAGCAGAAAGAAGTGGCTATGGCTGTTGTCTGATCCTCCTTATCAGAGTGCCTAGAGGAATGATATCCAAGCTATAAATGGCCCAGAGTCCCTGGAAACAGAGTTCTGAGCAATTCAAAATAAGTATGCGTGGAGCAGTTAGTTGCTTTCTGTTAGAAAAGGGTACAGAGACTGATGAATTTTTTTTTTTTAATTTAGGGGGATAAATGACTAGCATTACAAATGAGAAATAGTTGACAGAAAGAACTGGAAATGGGTGGGACTGAGTAACAGTTTGTGAAAACAGATCCTGCTGAGGATCAATCCAGAACTTCCCTGAGGGTTCAGCTTTTGCTGTATAGGGACAAGGTTGTAAATAGACAAGCCCCAGGGCATCTGCAGGTGGTTAAGTGTGGTAGAGAAGGATTGGAGTTGTCTGCTGGTGTATCTGTGGGAAGCAACTGCTATCCTTGAGGAAGAAAAGTGGAGAAGGAAAATGGCTATCAGCCTGTCAGTGACAGCTCTTCTGTGAAGTCTTATTCTTTCATTTCTGACACCGTGGTTCTTACATCTGTCCTAAACCTGGCAGCCTCATTGAGGTTCACAGAGCATCTCCTTCTCTATGACAGTAAGGCTGGAATTATTATCAGGATAGAATCCATTTCTGCCAGAATAAAACCAAGAAAAGAAATCAGAGTCAGTTTTTGTTACCTGCTTATCATTTTTAATAGACCATGAAGTGCTATATTCCTTATTAGGCATATGGAGTGTTGATAAATAATTATTGATTAATATCCTTTAATGCTCATATTTCACACAGCTATCTTTATCAGTGTGTGAAAATCCATATGTAATATTTTTGACTAATATATGTTTTAAAGAAATGTCAGTATTTTTTGTCCTATGGAATAGCAGTATTTTCTATTATTTGTTTTGAAGTGGAATTTGCTTGTTTCCATTACTTAAAATACATCAGAGTCCTTGGCAAAGAATCAAAGAAAGGGGAGAATTACGCAAGAAAAAAGATGTTGATAATAGAAGTTAAAAAATCAGTCATTTTGGTAAGGGAGTTAGCACATTCTTTGAGAAGAATCTTGGTTGCTCACCATTAGAGCTTTCTGATAAGCTGAAATGTCCTGAGTAAAAATTTTCTTAAAATACTTACAAGCACGAGCAGAAAGTATGTCTTTTGTCAGTGCCCATACTGATCTGGTACTCTTCCAACCATTGAAACCTGTCGCTTTTTCAAAATCCATGTGTTTCACAAGTGTTCGTTTGATTAGTTTCTCCTCTCAAAAATCTCCACTGTTTTTTCTTTACTATGTATGATTTTATGCTTTTTTGTAGTTTTTTTCGGTACCTCATATTTTTTTTTATTAGACTATAACTACCTTGAGAGCTAGGACCTACTTTTTGTTTTGTTTTGCTGCCTTCCCCTTAAGAAATATCATTTAAATGAACGTTGTGAGCAAGAATCATTTCAGTTAAATTGCCCTTAAAATTCTTTATGGAGAAAAGTGGTAGCTGTAGCTATATTTATAATAGTAAAAAGTAAGAGTAATCTTCTATACAAAAGACTGGTTATATTCTGTCATATTGATTAGTGGAATGTTATTTAGCTGTTTTTTAAAGCCATTAAACTAGACCTTGTAATGGTCTCCCATCCAAGTACTAACCAGCTCCAACCCTGCTTAGCTTCTGAGATCGCATGAGATTGACCACATTCAGGGTGGTATAGTGTAGACTAGTCCTTCTAATAGAAAATATTTGTTCTCTGAGTTAAAAAAAAAATTATGACTGTGTGTTTGTGCCCCTCTCCCCAGTTCATATATTGAAACTCTAATGCACAATGTTCTGGTATTAGTAGTTGGACCTCTGGGTGGTGATGGTAGAGCCATAATGACACAATTAGTGCCTGTATAAGAAGAGAAAGAAAAGGCTTACTTCTACCTCTGTCTGCTCTCCACCATGTAAGGACACACCAAGAACAGTGGTCAGGCCGGACATGATGGTTTATACCTGTCATCCTAGCACTGCTGAGTTAGGAGGATCATGATTTGGATGCCAGCCTGGGTGATATAGTAAGTTTAGAGTCAACAACCAGGATTACATATCAAGACGCTGTCTCAAGATAAAAAATAAAAAAAGTGCTGTGGATCTAGGTTGGTGTGAAGGCCATAGGTTCAATCCCCAGGGCCAACAAACAAACAAAAAAAGAAAGCTCTAAAACCTGTGATTAGTATGGAATTTTTTTTTTATTTCAGTAAAGAAGTGATGACAGTTTGTTTTTGGCATTCAAATTATGCTTTTTAACATCTACTTATATTGCCCTCTTTTTAGTTTTAGAGCAAATATTTTTGGAAGTATGTTACAACCCTTAGGCTTTCTGTGAATCTCCTTTCTTTCTAGGAGGTTGAACATAATCATTGCTAGGACCACACCACATATCTGATTAACTGGTGGAATAACTCCTGCAAATTTTACACAAGTTGCATAGTGCACATTTCAAGGACCAGTAACATACATAATAGGGTTTTGACACCTTTTGGTATCAGGAAAATCCTCTTTAAACAACCACCACCACCAAGAGCAATAAACAAAAGCATATAAAAGTATTTGTTTAAAATCTAAATTAGTTTTATTCACCCACTAAATATATATTGTCCACTGTGTACCAGTCATTATTCTACACTTTCTAGAAAACTATGGCAAATAAAGCACACATAGTGTTTACTATAAGAGAATTCATGTTTAGTAACAATAAACCATACATGAACATGTAAGGAAAATAAAAGTGAAAAGTACTAGTCTGGAAATTAAAAGGTAACTATTTAAATCTTGTTTCTCTTAAAGCGTTTATCTTGAATATGATATGTGTGTTTACGCTTCCATTTTTGAGGCTTGTAGTGCTTCTTGAATCTGGATCCATTGTCCTTAATCTGTTTTGGAAAATTCTCAAATTTTATCACATATTAACCCTAATCCTCCTGTCCCTCTCTCCTTTTCTTCTGGTTCTCCAATTGCATGTGTGTTTTACTATTTTACTTTGTCTCCTATGTTTTCCATGTAATTGTCTATTTATCTTTTATTTTAGGTAGTTGTTTTTTGTTTTGTGGTTCACTATTTTCTTTTTAATACTCTAGCCTGTTAAAAATACTTATTGAAGCATTTCTTTAAGTTGTTTATTTAAATATTTCTGTTTGGTGATCTTTTATTTTCTCAAACAATAATTGTAGTTTCTAATACTAGGTCTTATGACTCGGATCTACTGTTGTATGGAGCTTCTTTTTTTTTCTTTTAGTTTGTCATAAGGTTTTTATTTACTTTTAGTAATATTTAGTTTAATAAATATTAGTTTTAATATTTTAATACATACTTTATGGTCTTTACATTTATAATATTTATATTAGATTTATATTTTACATTTATATTATATCTTACATTTGATTAAATGTCTGAAGTACTTTGATTGAATTGTATGTAAAAGACTTATACTTTGAAGTCAATACCGTAGCATTTCTTACAGAAAACATTTATGATTCCTGCAGGGGTTTTAGGCCTAATCCAAGATGGTCTTAATGTACTGAGTGAATGAGATAGAATATGACTGGGTCTACTTTCAGTTTATACTTTCTCTCAGGAAGTAGACCTTTAACTAGACTTATATCTGAATGTGCTTCAGAATAATAAGAGGAAAAACGAGTGATAGTGTAAATGAAGCAAGATTTGTTATCAGGTGATAACTGTTGAGGATGATTGATAGGTAAATAGAGGCTTATTCTACTCTATACTGTATACAGTATTTTTACATGTTTTACATTCCCTATAATTGTATTACATGTTTTAATATTTCTATGATAACTGTTTCCATTATGGAAAATGTTAAAATATATTACTAGCAAAAGGATTAGCATTCAGATTATGTAGAAAGCTCACAGTTCAATAAAAAAGAAGATAAAAATCTTTCTCTCACCCCAAACAGGCAATTCTTAGAGAAGAAAACTTGAAGAGATAACCCAACCACAAAAAATGCCATTTCCTACCCACCACATCAAAAAAATTTGAGTCTGACAGTATCTCCAGAACACTTGCTGATAGCAGTTTAAATTGACACAGTTTAGAAAACAATTTAGCATTATCTAATAAACTTGAAGATGTATATCATCTATGGCCCAGCAAAAAATGTGTGTCAGGAGAAATGAGGAAGAATATCCTTAACAGTATAATTTAAAATAGTAAAAATTGAAAACAATCCCTCTATCCATTAGCAGTAGAGAGGTTAAATACATTTTATTTACTCATACAGTAGTAAAGCAAAGAAATGATAATCACAAAATTTAAGACAGTAATTTTTCGCTAGTAATAAAGGGAAAAGAGATACGGACTGACCATACAAAGATCTTAAAAGTGTTGATTTGACTAGATATTCCTTGTTTGCTTGACACAGTCCTAGTTCACATATTTTAGTGTTACAATAACTAGTAACATTCCATTTTCATTCTCAAAACTGTCATGATTTGAATAACAAATTATGTGCATGTTTTTAATTTAACATTTTGCCTCAAGTTGGATTAAGGGTCTGTGGATGTTCATCTTATCATTCTTCTGTATATCATATATGTATTTCATAAACATTCATTTATACTCTGTCATTAATTACACAGTTTTAGATTTTAGCCAATAACAAAAGTTTTAAAAAATCTGTATATGAGATAAATGTCAATATGATCTGAATGAAACCTTTATCATTTAGCTAGACATTAAGATAACATACCATGTGGCTTGCATTGTTTTATGCTATTTAGAGATATTATACTTTAATAGGAAGACTTCTAGGTAGGTATTATCTCCATTTTACCTGTGAATCTGAGTCACAAAGAGTATACCTAACTTAGCCAAAGGAAGCATATGAGGGTGTGATTGAAGAACAAGGTGGATACTTACCTTTCTTAATACCACAATAAAGGACACATATTATTTATCCCCCTCTAAGTATTTTTTCTCTCTTTAAACACACTTAATCCTATCATTCTTGCCACTTTTTGAAGCAGTTCCGGAAGTTATATTTCAAGAGTGTCTTTAGTTTCACTATTATGGCTGCCTGGATGTCCTAAATCAATTCAAAACATTTACCTTTCCTGGTCATTTGACTTAAGGGAAGATCCAGAAGTGGCATAGTGATGGATCTGGTGAATAAGGTTGATGAGGACAGACTAATGTTTTTATGAGCCTGCCTTTCCATGGACTGGCATAGCATTCACCCTATTTTTTATCATACCTTGTAAAGACGTGAAAGAAGACTTCCAGAAATGCTTTAGAAAGTGGCAAGAGTGGTTAATGTGTTAGAAGTGAGGGTGGGTATTTGAAAGGGATTCATGACAGTGTTTTTTGCACTGTAATAAAGTTTTTAAATTTAAACATTCTGTGTATTTTTTACTCATCCTATGTATGTGGCAGAGCTGAATTTGAGCTCAAGCAGTGTGACAGAATGCATGTTTTTTAACCACAATACTGGTCAACAATAGACATTTTTACCCTTTTTTTTGCCCCCTAGGACTGCATGAAGCTTTGGGTGCACATCTAGACACAAACCATAACACTTAGAATTGGAAAAACTGTTAAATTTTAGTAACAAGTTAGCAAAAATGGAGCTGGGAGTACTGCTCAGTGGCATACACTTGCCTAGCATGCCTGAGGTCCTGAGTTCATTCCCTTGCGCTGAAAAATCCATACCCTCCCCTACTTTTTTGAGATTACATTCAAAATGTAATATACAAATAAAACTAGTTTAATATAAATAGAATGTTCCTCTACGTGGTGAACTTGTGTGGAGAATGAGAAATGGAAATGCATTAGAGTAACCAGATGTACATCTAGACAGTGGGAAATGTGGAACTGCGCTAGGGTATTTTATGCAAGAGATTAGCACTGGTTCAAAATATGTACTATCATGCAGTTCTTCACAAAATAATTCATTATTGAGCCAGGCAGGGTGGTACATACCTGAACTCTTAGCTGCTCCAGAGCCTGAGACAAGAGACTCACAAGTTTGAGGACTGCCTGGGCTTATTAGCAAAACTCTGTCTCAAAATTTAAAAGATGGGTGAGGAGTTGAGAATGTAAGTCAGTGGTAGAATACTTGCCTAACATGTAGTAGCCCCTGAATTTAATGTCCAGTACTGAGAGGTAAGGAGGGCACATAAGAATTAATTATCAGAATGCCCTAAATCATAGTATTTGTCAATGCCTGTAGCAGCTCAATAAACAAAATTCAAATAGCAGGACATTTTTTCAAAGTTTCACTGGACTAAAATCAAAATGTCTGAAAAGTGTTTTACTTGCCTTTCTCATGATTTAATGTCCCAGCAGAGTATGTAACTGGGAAACCTGATTCTGACAAACAAAGAGAAATTACTTGCCTAATTGAAAGTGACAGAAACTTGGGGAGAAAGCAACAACAAACCAAGGATAATTATAAGAAACTAACCTGGGCCCTAAAGGACAGTGTCAAGAAACCTGAAGTCCCCAAATAAGGTGAAACTTGCAAAAAAATGCTAAGAGAGGACAAATAATGGACCTTTTTAAAATTATTTGCAATTCTGAATGAGGGAAGAGAAAAACCCACTTGCAATCTCTAATACAATGTTAGAACTAACAGAAAGTAAAACTGCCCACTAAGGTTTTGCTTCATTCTCTACAAAGTAAGTTGACATAGTGAGAAGAATATTTGTCTTGAGGGGTCAGAAAAACCTGGATTTAATTCTCTCCATCATTGTTAATATTTATGGGAGGTTATTCTTTGAGCTGAGCTTCTGCATTTGCCCAACAGATCTGACCAAAATGGAGTGCCTTGCGCTAAATTTCCACATCACCAAAATGAATTGTTTATCTGACCTTCTTAGAAATCAGAAGAGAGAAAATGCCCAAAGCCCCAAAACAGGCTAGTTTGAGTTGGCATAATAAGGAAATACCCTCTATTTTAACCCTGTTATTTGAACAAAATAGCAGTGAAATCACTAGTCTTCTCCATGTTCCTTATTTCTGCTTTGTTCAGATTTTTGTGCCTACAAAGTCCATTTCCTCAGCTCAGGTCATTTGAGCACTTACTATATTACAAGATGGTGCCTGATTTTATTAGACCAATAAAAACTAATTACATCTTTGAAATAAATTTGTTGAAGTTTTTTTTCTAGACAACACTAATTACAGTACTCTGGATCTCCTTTGTCCTATCTAAAATGGAAAATAATCCTATTTTCTATAGGTTTGATCTGAGGTATGGGATAAATGTGCTTTAAACACGGACTCAAACTCATAGTAATAAATAGCAACTTATTAACCGTGCTCAAAAGAGTAGCACATGGGACATCAAATTAAAATTTTTCTGCACAGAAAGGAAACAACTGTAGCAAGAATGGCCTGTAAAATAGGATAAAATTTTTGCCAGCTACTCATCCAACAGAGGGTTAATATCTAGAATACATAAAAAACTAAAAAAAAAAGTCAATATCAAGTAGCAGTTGGTAAATGGGCAAATGAATTGCACAGACAGTTCTCAAAATATACAGTACAAGTAGTCAATATGTACAAGGAAAAAATGTTCAATATCTTTAACCATTAAAGACATGCAAATCAAAACTACATTGAGCTAACCCAGTCAGGATGGCTATCATCAAGAATACAAAATAATAAATACTGGCTAGAATTTAACATAGTACAGGGATATCCGCATACGCATGTTTATTGTGGCATAATTCGCAGTAGCCAATATGTAGGGCTGGTTTAAATGACCATCAGCAGATGAATGGTTAAAGAAATTGTAACATATATGTAGAGTGGAGTATTAGTCATAAGGAACAAAATGGCGTTTGCAGGAAAATGGATGGAACTGGAGATCATCATGTTAAGCAAAATAAACCAGCTTCTGGTAAAACATTACATGTTTTCCTTAATATATGGAATCTAAAGGAGATGACAGTAGAAGAAAACCTATTATTAGATGAGAGGATGGGAATAAGGAAGAGGAGAGAGTACAAGGAGGTGGATAGGATAAAAAAATTAATGATATCATTAAAAGATACTGTTGTTGACATGAATTTATTGAGGTGAAAAGGTGTCCTCTGCACTCTACTAAACAAAACAGCAGGTTACAAAACAGTATGCACGGCATTGCCAATTTTTCATTTTCAAAAGTGCATTAATATAGAGAGATATAAAGAAATCCTCTAGAACATGCTACCTATTTTAATCTCTGGAGTGAGACACTGAGCACATTTTTCCTTTTGTGTAAGAATTACTTTTTGTTCAGATTATATCATCTGCTATCATTGGTTCACATTCCAGGCCTTGGAGGGAAAAGTACAAATGAGATCTGAGAACAGTGATCCCATATTTGAGGAATTACGGGAAACAGAATAGGTCCTAGAAAACTATACATGGGTTAATGTCTGTCTTCATGGTGAAAAATAAAAATCTCAAACTCTGAATTACACTCATATGCCATATAATGATATTTTGGTCAACGATAGACCACATATATGACAGTGATCCCATAAGATTATAATGGAGCTGAAAAATTCCTGGTGCAGCATGGCATCATCAGCACCCTAGACTAGCTTGACAGTATTCACATATTTGTCATTCTGGTGTTCTCGAACCTATTGTGCTGTAAGGTGTGTAAAAGTATACCACATACTTGGTAATAAACAATGATGTTACTGGTTTATATATTTACCTTAAAGTTTTGTTTTAGAGTATGGTCTTACTTACAAATTCATTTACTGCCAAACAGTGTGCTGGTAAGCTAGCAGCAGGCTCATACGTTTCACTTGTACCACATTTCTTTATTGCATCAGGAGGCCCTATCAAACCTGACCTCTAGGTTTGTGTAAATGCACATTATGACACTCACAGAAGGACAAAATTTCCATAAAGAAGGATAAACATGAATCATTTGTGGGAAAATGGATGCACCATAATGTTAATATTAAGTGAAATAAATCAGAAACACATGCCTAAATATTGCATGATTTCTCATATGAGAAACTAAAAAATATAAAGAACAAGATGAGATAGAGTTTTTGCAAAAAGGATGGGAATGAAGAGATGGAGGAGGGGAAAAGGGAGGAGAGGAAGGGAATGAAAAAAAGAATTCAGATGTGTTATGTACATGTACCAACTCTCCACAATTAGTATAATCAATGTGTACTGCAAACATGTACTAATAAATGTTTTGAACTGCCTACAGAAGCATTCTCAGGATATATCACTATTGTTGTTAAGTGACCCATGGTTGTACTTGCTCTTTTGACTTCCTATTAGTGTAATTCACTGGGATATGAGGTATCAAAAAAGAAACAAGGGAATAAAGTGAATTTACCCAAGAAATTCTTAAAATATAAACACAGTCTTTGTGATGGGCAAAGGTGATTAACAGGTTTCTTGAATTTTTTTCAAAGCTTCAAGAGGCAAAACTTTGAAAAAAGAAGAAAAAGCTTGCATTCTTAAACAAGATGTAGTGTTTCAGTGCTGGCCCTCCAAAAATCTACATTCTAATCTTGGCACCTGTGAGTATTCCTATTTAGAATAAAGATCTTTAAAAGGGTCTGAAAGTAAGGATCTCGAGATGAGTGGATCAACCTGGATTATCTGGTGGATCCTAAATCCAATGACTTTATATAACAGAAAGGAAAATGCAGAAAAGAGGAAACATGTGATCACAGAGGAGGCAGAGAGTGGAGTGATGCAGCCACAAGTCAAGGAATGCTGATGACTGGTGCAGGCAGCTGAAGGAGGCAAAGTACCAGTTTCCCCCTGGATCCTCAAAAGGCAACACAGACATGCTGATGCTGTAATTTTGAACTTACAGCCTCAGAACTGCAAAGGAATAAATTTCTATTGTTTTAAACTAGAAATTTGTAATAATTTATTACATCAGCCCAACAAAATTAATGAACAGAGTTTAAAGAAAATTCATTAAGATTTCTACTAGATTAGTATATTGGGGTTCTCCAGAGAAACAAAACCAATGGAATATATATTTTTATATATAATAGATACATATTAAAGTAAGTTAAAATGGAGACATGGCCTGAGAATTCCTGAGCAGATAAAGCCACATAAGGCTCATAATTTAACCTTACTTGGTTTATAAACATAAGTGAAACAAAACTTGAGCTTGTTCTTATGAATGCATATTTTAAGGAAAAGCAGAACTTAAGTTCAACCAATCAAAAGGAGACAAATGTATATAACTAGGAACTCTTTCAGAGGAGTGAAACCAAATAAAGCAACTATTTAACTGTAACCAACCAAGTGTTTGTTTCATTTCTATGTTTGTCTTACAAAAGTCTCTCCTTTCTGTTCCCTTAAGGGAGCTTCCAAGCCACTTCTCATTTGTAATTGCAGGATTCATGAATCACTATTCACACAAATAAACTTTAAAATTTTATTTGTTCTCAGTTTACTTTTTTCAATAGATAAGAGGAGATTGTGAGTTGGTCATGGAGGCCCAAGACCGGCTGTCAGCAAGGTGGAGAATCTGTAAAGCCAATGGTACAGTTAAATCTGCGTTTGAAGGCCTGATGAACGGTGAAGTCAATAATGTAACTCCTAGTCTGAGGCCAGAGGGTGGGATCTCGATGTGCTGTTATAAATCCTGGAGTCTGAAAGTCCAAGAACAAGGAGCTCTGATACCCAAGGATGGAGAAGTTTGATGTTCCAGCTTGTCTTGGTTACTTTTCTCTCATTGCTGAGACAAAATACCCAATGCCCAAAATGAAGGAAGGAAGGGTTTATTTAGCTTACAGTTTGTGGAGGTTTCAGTCCATACTGGGCTGGCTGTGAGTCAGAAGATAGCAAAGCAACAAGAGCAAAGGGGGGAATGGCAGCCGAACAGCAATGCAGCCAGAGCAAAAGGGAGGAATGGCGGCAAGCAGCTTCTTTCCCTGCCTTACTTTGTAAATAGGCTACCCCCACCTAAGGGGCGTGTAGCTCTCACATAATCTCCATGTCCTGCTCTTCCACAGGCTCAGGATGTATACAAAGTAAGCACCCTGGCTTCCTGCTGAGTCACTTAGCCAAACCTCTAGACTCAAGTTGACACAGTGTATCAACCATAACACAGCTCAAGAAGAAAGCAAATTCTCCTGCCTTTTTAAAAAATCTGTTTGGGCAGGACCTCAGTGGAAAGATGATGCCCATCCACACTATTGAGGGTGTATCCTCTTTACTCAGTCTCCTGATTCAAATACGAATCTATTGCAGAAATCCACAAACAGAAGTAGTATTTTACTCTCTATGTAGGCATCTTTTAACCTAGTCAAGTTGACACAGATTTTACCATCACAACTAGGTTTTCCTGGGTTAGAAGGAATGAGATGATAAATGAGTGGCGGAGGGTACAGAAAGTCTGAGAGACTTTTCAGAGAGACAGTATTAACCAGGTGGAATTATCTGATATGGACCACACAGAATGCTTTGACACAGATTACCAAGTTTTGGAAGAAATCTTACAGTTTTAGTACTATACATTATCAGAAACAGAAAATGTGGCAACCAAGCCAATACCCAGAGATCCCCCAGTGAATACACCAGGTGATCAGAGAAAGCCTCTGATTAACAGATGCTTTCTATTCCCTTAATCTATAGCAGGAGTAATACCTGTTTATATGTACATACCTGAATTAGTCATATGAAAATTATTCATAGAGTAAAACATTTTTCCAACAGTCCCAGATAGTCACAGATCCTCAGAAACACAGAGTCACATATAACTAATGTGGTCCCAGAGGTATTAAAAGGAAATCTTTGTCACTTGGAAACCTTCCTGTTAATCTTTGCTTGCCTGAGATTTTATTCATTCTACTGAGACTCTGGAACCTGTAAATCCCAGCGAAGACCATATTGTCCTAGGGAAAAATCCAAAAGAAATTATGAGGGATGCTCTGAGAATATCTATGAAAGGAAGCAGCTTCAAGCCAATGTAGTGTGGGTTTACCTACAATAATGTATTTCAGTCTAATGACCCTCCTGACAGGGTTAGTAGGCTATTATCATAATAAAATACAGTAAAAAAAAATTATCTGGGACCAAGCAGCATTTTTACATTTTTCACCATATACCTGTAAATTGGGACAGAAAGTGGGGAAAATAGCTAATGACAGCACCCAAAAGCTACTGATCCTGGATGATAGTCAGTTCCTTCAAAGGTTGTTAGTATACACAGTCCTCTGGGTCAACATTGCATTTCTTTGAAAAATGAATAGGTAGAACCCACACTTCTCAAATTTTTGCCTGCTTCAAAGTTGGGAAGATTATGCTATTTTCTAAACTTTAAGGTCGCTAAATTCTAGGTGGTTATTACTCAAGTTGATAGAATTTTGATCATCCATAACAATATAGGCATAATCCAATGAACCAGTAGAGATTTTTAAGTTTATCTACTTATTTAAATGACACTTATGGAACAACTACTCTATGTATATGTGTATGTTAGGCTTTAGAAATGTGAGTAAGATTAACTGCAGAACTTTAAAATCTGGTGAGTGAAACAGACTTGAAAAGATAAAATTGAACATAAATGTTAATTGTAGAGTATTATGTTTAATAAAAATTTTAAACAATGGCACTTAATTTTATGGGATGGGTGGGCAGTAACGTGTATGAAACATGTTTGCAAGTTTAATGTGCTGGTAAAATATGACAAATGGACATTTATGTACTTCTGGTGCAAACAAAGTGGCAATTCTGTGGAAAGTTATTATCCACAAGTCACATTATTTGATGCAGTAATTTACTTCTAGGAATCTACTTTAAGAAATAATCTAAAATTTACACATAAAGTTATATATAGGAAAATTTAGCAGAGAGATATGTAATAGCAAAATAAGATAAATGATTAAGAAGATCTGCCATAACCATGTAATAGAATGTCATAACCATAAAGAGCAGTATGTTTTTTTAAAAGATGTCTAAAATATTATAGTATATTCACCTAAAAAGCTGAGGATCATGACTTTTTGCTGTAACCTTTAATGTTTTTAATTTTGTACCATGGGTATGTGACATATTTTAAAAATAAATACAACTTCAACATATTCAGCTTAAAATTTTAAAAATATATTTGCAAATACTTTTCATGAAGTGATGAAGTACCCATACTAAGTGAAAAACAAGGACATTTCATTCTTTCCTGTAATGGATATGTTAACTGGATAATCTATAGACTCTGAGTATATTACTAGAAATATTTTATTCAGTATTTTGTACCATAAAACACCTCAGACTGTTTTACATGAAAACGAAAAGGATAGCAAAGAAGCTAACTGCAGGTATGACTGAAGGAAATACGTTTGTGAGAGTGGGATGATTTCTTTCAAGTCTCTGAAGTCTTGCCCTGAGGAGAAGGGATCTATTGACACTGGAATAGGCTCAGAGGATGAAACTAGACCCATTTACAGGATCTATAGGAAGCCATTGCAACTCAATGTCAAAATAATGAAAGACTGTTCACTGTTTATAGGCAATTTCACCTCAATGTCAGGAAACACTTCCTAAAAGAACAAGACAAAAAACTAGTGGATTCCTAAATTATTGGAAGAGTCAAATGTACATTGTCACTTACTTGATGGGACATTATAGAAGAGATTCAAGCATCAAAAATGTGATTTTATTTTTATTCCAGCAGTGTAAGGAGTCATTTCTGGGCCTCAGTCTTTTCTTCTCAGAGAAGTTTAACTAAATTACCTCCATATTCCTTTTAAGTTGTAAATTGTTTGGAGTCTGCATTGGTATAATTGTATTTGATTGTCTTTCACATGTCAAGTATATAGATGAGCTTTTTTATCACTTGAATTATACCACATTGAATTTGTGAAAATTCGGATATTCAAAACTATTTGTAAAACTGCAAACCATTTTTAAGTGTAAAACATCATACTAGTGCAACATCATCAGCAATTAGGAAAATACAAATTCATACCTCAAAGAGACATCACTACACACGTTAGAAAAACTAAAATGCGATGCTATGAAGTGCTGACAAGATGCAGTGCAACTGTATATCTCATCTATTATGTTGCTGGTAGAAATGTAAATTGGTACAGTTGCTGTAGAATTAGAACAATTAGATCTAGAATCTGACAGTCTTTATACAGATTAACATGTACTGACCATACATCCCAGAAATCCAGCTACTGGATATTCTAGAGAAATGAAAATTATGTTCATATGAAAACATGTAAATATTTGTATCGGCTTTGTGCTAGCACCAACCTGGAAATATCCAGGAGATTACCAACAGGTGGATGAATAAACCATAGTTTATCCTTCTCATAGAATGTCATTTAGTAATAAAAAGAAATTGTTGGTACATACAACAGCTCAGGTGGATATTGAGACCATTATCCTGGCTGACAAAAAAGCGAATTTAAGACCATATATTGTATGATTCTGCTTATATAGTGTTCTCAAAATACCAAAATCGGGGCCTGGGGATTTAGCTCAGTGGCACAGTGCCTGCCTGGCAAGTGCAAGGTTGTGAGTTCAATTCCCGGTACCGGAACAAAACAAAACAAAACAAACAAATAGCAAAATCATAGTGATAGATGATGAAAGCAGTGCCAGAAGTTAGGGTTAAGGGAGGGTGTGACTTTCAAGGTGTACAATAAGGACATTTCTTGGGAGTGATGAGAGAATTCTGTATCCTGATTGTGGTGATCTACAGTAATCTATTTCATAAGATGACATCTTGTAGAACGGTATGCCAAAAGTAAGTTAGTTTGTTTATTTTTAAGATTCTAAACAGCAAAGAAATTTGTGTATTCATTAACTCTGTGTTAGTTGGGTTTCTGTCACTGTGACAAGGTACCTGAGATAATCATAAGAAGGGCAGTTTTACTTTGACTCATAGTTCAGAAGTTTAGGTCCATTCCTTTGAAGAGATACCTTCTTTCCCCTGTGTGACCTACGTCCTTCTGCTTGCTCCAGCTCCTAAAAGTTCCATCACTTCTTAAATCATACCAAGCTGAGGATATGGTCCTTTGGGGAACCTTCCAGATCTGAACTAGGACAAACTCCCAGTGTTACAGAATATTTTCGTATGAAATATTTTGCAAGTGAGGAATACACTAGAAGTGAGGGTGTGAATTTTATTTACTTCACAATAACTTTGTTCCTTTTCTTTAACAGAATGGTCAAATATGGAAGTAAATCCAGGTAAAGCTCACTCTTATTTCCATTTTCTTCTTTTTAAATTTTACAATTATTTTTTAAGGAAGCTTCTGGAGGGAAAAAAATTTTTTATAGGATTTTTCACAATTCATTGAAATGCAACTTTTTTTGGTATTTATCTTATGGTTGAAGACATCACTCTCATCAAATTCTACTCTCAGTACTGACTCTTCCTGTGTATACTTAGTTAGATTTACTTTCATTCAAATTACATAATAA